TCGCCAAAGTTTGTTTTGATTTCGGGGTTTTCCTCGTTAATCGTTCGCAGGAGCTCCTCGTCAGAGTACCCCTTGGCAACGCCCGTGAGTCTGATTTTGGGGTTTTGCTTCAGGATTGCGCTCGTTTTTATTTCTCCGCTTGCACCCAGTTTCCTCTCGACCTTCTCCTGCTGCTCTCTGTTTTTGTACACTATGGCGATCTTATTGCCTCTTGTACCTGCCATTCGGACCACTCCTCCTGTAGCTGCTACTTCCTCCTGTGCGGCTTCCTTAATTTTTTTGATTGTATCTCGGGCCTGTTGGCCTTCCGGGATTTCGACCAGGGTTATATGTTTTTCTTTTGTTTCAGGAGTCTTCCATGGCTCCTTGGCTTTCTCGTTCACCTTTTTACCCTTCAGGACTGTCCTTGAGACGTCAGCGTATGTTCTTATTTTGTCTCTTATTTCTTTGGATTTTAGTCTCCTTTTTGGTTTGGCTAATGTGAATCCCCCTTCTGTGTCTGACTGTATTTCAGTTTGGGTCTGCTCTGTGTCAGCGTCATTTGTGTACGCTGCTTGGTCGTGTCCGAATTTTCTGGAATTTTTGCACCAACTTAAAAATTCCAGGACTGGTTTAAAAACGGCCAATCATGAAAGAAAAAGTTTTATTAATTCGAATCGATTTAACACTCTAAAATAAATTGTTAAGAGAAGAAAGCCAGTTGCCGTTATTTGAGACGTAATATGAACAAACTGTGGAGGATTAACGGTAATAAATGTATGTAATTGGGAGTCGTGTGCTATTACATCCCTGTATCCCAAAGCAATCTGAATATTTGAAGCAAATAAAATTTAAAAAAGGTTCTAAGGAAATGTTTTGATCAATTTCCCATCGGTTTAAGACTTTTGTTTGTCGGAAGCTTTTAGTTTGTTTTAACAAGTTCTGATTTCGACTTTCCAAAATCTGAAATTTCAAAATTTCAGATTTCAAAACCTAGGAATTTCTTGATTCTCAGTCTTATGCGTGCTCTCGGGCAATATTAGTAGGTCCTAGGTCCTCTTTGATTGTATACTAGGTCTATTTTTCGGGGTAGAAAATCATGGATGTCCGTGTTTTCTCATCAGTGTTTTCTGAAATTTTTAAATATTCTCCCGAAATTGCGTACAGAAGCTGCTGATGAACCAAATTTACAAAACTCAGGTTTGCTCACCTCAGGCACCCCCATGACCGGTTTCGAGCCTATTAGCTCTCATAAGCTGGGTTTAGCCTGAAATTAGCGATCGCGATCCTAAGGCCCACATCTAAAAAGGCAAGTCAACCGCCTCCAGAATACGATTAGAAAAGGTATGAAGGAAACTCGATCGCAGCCCTGGAATGCTCGCATGGGCGAAATAGAGACTGAGGAGTCATGCCACGAGATCTGGAAACTGGCCAGGAACCTCAATGCAGGACCAAGGAAACCAATGCCACCTATAGAAGAAAACGGTATCATCACTGTGGATACCAAAGAGAAAGTGGAGCTCTTTGCCAACCATCTAGAGTTCCAATACAGAGTAAACCTGGTTGGTCACCCAGAACAAGACGAGGAAGTGGACAAGATAGTAGCCGACCATTTCCGAAATCGGCGGACCACCAAAGCCAGAAGAGTCACTAACGAGATCATCCAGAACATCATCAAGGACACGAAGAAGAAAGATGCCCCTGGACTTGATGACATCTCAAATGAGGTCTTCAAAAAACTACCGACAGCAGCAATTGAGGACCTTACCACAGTGGCAAATGCAATACTGGACCTTAAGTACTTCCCGATCATCTGGCTAGAAGAAGGCAACAGTGGTATTGGTTCCTAAAAGAGGTGTAAAAAGGAAGCTGCTCACGTCCTACAGGCCCATCAGCTTGCTACAGATGATGGGCAAACTTATGGAGACGTGTATCCTGAACCAGATCCAGGGCACAATAGAGGACACGAAAGTGCTGCTGGGTGAGCAATATGGATTCAGGCCGGGCCACGGCACCAACACACTCGCCGCCCGGCTAACAACTAGGATCCTCCATAGGTTGAACCGCCAACAGATTTTACGAGCCGGCTTCCTGGATGTGGCAAAGGCGTTTTACATCAGTGTACCATCATAGGCAGTAATATTTTTGTTTCTTTTTCGAATTAGACATGTCATCAAAGACTGAAGGGTTTCCTGCAGGGAAAGGGAAAGGTGGAGTGAAAATGATATCAAATTAGCAATTGAAAATGTTATGCCTAAAAAGATGGGTTGGCAACTTGCTGCTAAGACTTTTAATGTGTCCGCCACAACATTGCGTCGAGGATAGATCACAAATTTGAACACAAAAGTCGACTTAGGAGGTCGTAGGGATTTCTGACAAGGCACCCACGAATATCTTTAAGATTACCAGAAAATACTTCTATGGCTTGCGCTCAGGCTTTCAACAAAACCAACATATCATCATACTTTTCTGGATTGGACGCAGTCTGTCAAGATCATAAATTCCCTCTCGAAGACATATTCAGTGTGGATGAGTCTGGATTAAGCACAGTACAAAAGCGGCCACAAAGAGTATTTGCTACTAAAGGTCGCAAGCAAGTAGGTGCGCTAAGCAGTGCTGAGCTGTGTATGTGCAATGAGCGCCATTGGAAACTTTATTTTACCAGTTTTTACATTTTCAAGAAAGCGATTCAAGAATGAGTTGATGGACAATGCTCCACTAGGGAGCAAAGCTTTGTGTCAGGAAAAAGGCTGGATGACCAGTGATTTATTTCTAAAATGGCTCCAACACTTCGTTCATCATTCCAAGGCCTCTAAAGACAATAAAATTATTCTTTTATTAGACGGGCACATTAGTCATAAAGGCCTACAAGTCCTGGAATATGCCAAAGAAAATGGAATTGTTTTGTTCTGTTTTCCTGCACATTGCACACATCGCCTCCAACCTTTCGATGTGGGAATTTTTGGGCCACTTCAAACTTACTATCATCAAGAAATTGAACTCTGGCTGAAGCAATACCCTGGACAAACTGTAACGGATTTTTAAATTCCTGGATTATTTAAGAATGCTTTCTAAAAAGGTGCTACACCAGCAAATTATGCTTTTGCGAAAACAGGCATAGTTCTGTTTAATCCGAATGTATTTGAGAATTGGATGTTTGCGCCATCACTAACCACTGATCAACTTATGTCTCAAGAAGCAAGATCATATAGCCGTTGAGACAGATGAAGCTCTAAAAGAATATTCAACAAAAGAGGACAACACACACCAAAATGACAAAATTCAACTGCGAACCAGGGCCTTCTTCCTTGGAACATAATAAAAATTGCGTTAAAATTCTATCCCAGCTTCCCGTTGCTACTGCTCGATCACAAAATATTAGGAAGCGCAAACGAGGCCAGACTGGATTAATAAACAATCCCAGGCATTGACGAATTAAAGAAAAAAGAGGAAGCAAGGGAAGATAATGAAAAAAGTCACTTGCGCCAAGAGCAAAAAGGAATGTCGTGATGGAAGAAAGTAGCTAAGAAGATAATGAGGTTGATGTAGGCTGCTTATATTGCAACGAGCTTTATTCAGTGTCACATGCAAAAGAAATATGGATCTGTTGCCAAATGTGCAAGTCGTGGTGCCATTGTGAATGTGCAGGAGTCGATATAAAAATTAAACAGTTTATTTGCGAAGTCTGTTTATAAATAAATTCTTTTTTAGCATACAAATTAGATATTAATGCGTGCACTTAACATCTAGTCTTTTCAGAATTCATTTTCTTTTATGTGTAAACTTTGTAAGTCGATATTTCAATAAAAAGTTTTTAAAATAAGGTCCCCTTAATCGACAAAAGTAATATTTAGTTGACAAAAGTAGTATTGAACTTTGTCGTAACAGGTGAAGGTTGAAGGTTTCGACCTTCCAAACTCTAGCACTTCAAAAGCTCCTATGTTTTATAAACTCCAAAATCAAAAACTCGTGTAATTTTTTTATGAAAATTTACAATAGAATCCGCATATTTCGGTGTGTTGCATGCTTTCTTTCTTAGAATATTAGCGTGTCCAAGTTTCTGATCTTTTCCTAGGTTTGTTTGGCAAAATATAAGTTTTACTCGCTCAGAACTAGATAACGCTTTGTTTAGTTGAAAACCAGAGGATTATTTTACGCGTTGAATCGTTCAGTTAAAACAGATTCTTCTTGTTCGATATAGACAGGGGTTTTTGCATAAACATTAATGGCTCAACACAGTTGACAACGAACTTAAAAGGTCTTTAGTTAAAAAACCGGCACTGAATTTGAAAACTGTCTGAATGAACTGCTTAACGTGAGGTCCCTAGGAATCCTTGCCATCTTAACATCGACTGATTCTGGATTTTTAATGCATTTTTCGAATTCGGATATAGAACTGCCTGCCCAGTTTGATATCGAATTTTCATAAACCTGCCAGCTGATATAACCTAATTATCCAGGTCACTAGCATTGAACAAATCGTAAAAAACCTCTCTTAATTAATAGCTGAACGAATTTAAATTAGGCTTGGCTCAAGCAAGCGAGAAAGGTCGTTGACAATGAAATGCATTCGCTACAACCCATCAATTTGTCATAGAGTTACAATTTTTTTGTTTAATTTTAGACTCTATCCAATGTTATTTCTGCTGTTTGCCATTATGTTGCCTGTGGGAATTCCCGTGTACTTCTGGAACGAGACCCTGTGGAACTCCTTTTGGATCAATTTCAATGCCCGCTTTTGCATCACATTGAACATTGCGTTTTTCGTCAACAGCGTTGCTCATATGTGGGGCCAGAAGCCATACGATAAGTACGAGGCTGAAATCTTCGATCGGGTTCAACAATTTTTAATTTTGGTTTTATTGTAGGTTTATCAGTCCAGTGGAAAATCTCGCCGTGTCCATTGCAGCTCTGGGAGAAGGCTGGCACAACTACCACCATGTATTTCCTTGGGACTACAAAACAGGAGAGCTGGGTAAGTTAGTAAACAGCGTTTGAAGAACTGTTCTAACGTTGAAAGTTTCCCAGAAGGCTTGAAACTTTGATAACGTTAATTGCCCACATTGTCCCTCTGTGGAATATGTTTTTTGCTATCATATAAGGGTTGCCGGGAAGCTGAATAATCAATGGGTTTATAATGGATCTATCGATAAGCCATGAAAAATTTCCCAATTACCATTTTGTAGACCCAATTCGCAATCTGAAGCTGTTTGCTTCTGTCTCTCCTATTCAGCGGCTTTACTGCTTCCAAATATTCTATTTGGTGCTCAACATCTTTACTTAGAAGCTTCTTTTGCAAAGTTGTTATCCAACTACTTTCTCTTCTGTTCTGTCTGTCTCTTTGTTTTATTGATAACTGCTTAAGTCTCTTAACTAATTGATTTTGAAGAAGCTAACAAAGATGTTTTCAGGGTTTCAGTTCAAAGATCAGTTTTCTTGATTTTTCCGTTGACTAAATGCCTTCAATAACACGTTTTGCGCCCTTTCAAACTAACTGCTAAGGCCGCAATCAACTTTTTTCGGGGCCTTTTTTAACGGAAGTGTTAGGTAAAAATTTACTCATATGTTTCTTTTGGCTTTAACCAGAAACAATTTTTTAGGCAGATTAATATGAAGTCTCCACTTGAAATTTTTTTTCTTTTGATCGTCATTATCTTATGTTTCATGTATTCTGTTGCATTGTCATTATTCTCAACGTCTTTTCTCATTCGCATCGTTATTAAGTAATTGTTTGTCTATAAGCAAATTTTATTCCTGATGTTTAGCGTGTACTTGATAAACGTGCAGATTTACCGTCCGTTTTCCAATTTAGTTCAAATATTCCTACCTTGTAAATGCTTTCAGTTCTGACCCATCTTAACTTCTTTCTACTCCAACTCTTCCCTTTCTGATTATTTATATGATGTAAGCGCAATGAATTCTTAAGTTCATTTTAACATTAGAACATTTGGATGGTTGCACAAACGACCTGAACCTTTATTAGTATTTACCTTAATATTGTACATCTAAAAAAATATTTTTTTCAAGCTCTAATGGCTTTCCTCCAACTGAATAATTTATGAGTTTACCATATTGATACCATATTCATATATCTCATTCAGGTGTTGCAAACTATGTCCAGTTTCTATACAAGAAGTTTTTCAGGAGAATTTTTCTGTTCTCATACGCATATGTTTCTTGTGCAAGTGTATTGGATATCGCAGTTTCAAAAGCAATAAATTTTCATTTGTTTCTGTAGCTAATATTGCTCATATCTATCATTTCAGATCATAACTTTCCATATTTACCTGATCTGAAGGTTTTTGTATGTTTTTCGTGATTTTCCTGTATTTTTCTTCCGACTATCAAAGCAACCCTTAATAGGATCTTCAAGGATGTTTTATTATTTATTCATCCTCTAACGTCCTCATGGACTCATGTGGAAGTGATTTGGTTTAAAGAAGAAACTTCTTCAAAATAAATTCAGCCTGTTTTCTTTGTTCTTCCAGTGAATCATTAGAGTCAACAGAGTTTTGGCTCAATTTTCGGTTCTTCTGCAAAATTTCAAGCTCCAAAAGTATTAATGTTTTTTGCATTGCTTGCAGGTAATTGCTGGAATCCGTCCACACATTTCATCGACTTCTTCGCAAAACTTGGATGGGCCTACGATTTGAAAAGCGTTTCCAGCAAAATGATTGCTCGAAGAGCGCAAAGAAGTGGCGATGGAAGTCACATTTGGGGCTACGGAGATGCCGACATCGAACTGGAGGATTTGAAAGAACTGGAAGACATGAAGTCGGTGAATTCCAGCGAAAAAACCGACTAAAAGAGTAGCTTTCTATATATTGCAAAAATTGTAGCTTCACCGTATGCCTTGGAAATTATTTAATTTTTCATAATGTGTGAGTAGGAGTGATTTCACTGCCTGTCATATTAAGCTACTACTACTTACTATGGTAGCAAATGTACAATTCCAAGAATAACGTCCACTAACTGGTAGGTTCTTACAATGACACTGTTAATGCCCGAATTAACTATTATATTCAAATATAAGCACACCTGCAAGTATTTTTTCAAACGATATTTTGTTAAGATGTTTCTTATTGTTCTTAATACAAATATATGTTATGTTCATAGTTGGTTTTATTTCAAATAAATAGACCTGACAAGGAAACAACAACAGTGATATTTTAGATGGTTTATTCAAAAGTTAGGAAAGAAAAAGCACATTTTATAGATGAGCAACAGAGAGGCCGTTAGATCACTTTCGGCTTCTCGGACAGTTCTAACAGGCAAATCCAGGTAAAGCCTGTAGCTGGTTAAGGCAACATGATGAAGCCGTTTTTTAACCAAGTGGGAGTTTCTTCGTGTTTGCAAAATCTGGATCTAAAAAATAATAAAAAAATAACTAAGTCACTGGAAACTTTGTAAACTTACCCCAATAAAAATACATGAAAAAGTCCTCAACATGTTGCAATATTGATTAAACCCTGGTTTAGAAATGAATGCGTTCATTGTGCTGAATAGATGCCCTGTGAAGCTACTGAAAATAATCCTTGATGAAAATGCGAATATTCCGAAAAAACTCTCAAGGCTTGTAAGAAGTTGGACGATCTTCGGAACCTCTTCTCTTATCTGCGCAATACTTTCGGAGCTGTTTTTGCTTTCTAGGGCATGTCTTATCCAACCAACTACCTACAAGTTAATAAATCATGTTCGAAATCTCCCCGAGAATAAAACTTACCAGGAAATCTCCATTCTCTAACTTCCTACATTCTGCGATGGGAATTTTGTAGAAATCTTCATATTTCTCCTGAATAAAACCCTCCAAGTTTTGAAGACGCCTGCAATAGATGCACAAAAAGGCATTTATCACATTTAGTTCAACAGAAAATATCAACATTATGTAGGTTTCCAACAATTTTGGAGCTACCAGAGGCTGATACCAAAGCCACTGCGAAAGGAAATTATCTGTTAACATCAGAAGCAGCAACCCCACTTCCACAGCTAGAAATATTGCTTGTTTGAAAAATTTGTCTGCGATTTTTTCAGCTTTAGCACTCTTAAGAAAAAACTTCCACATGAAGGTAAAATTCCCCACTTTCCCTATATTCCAAAATCTTCTTAAGTAAACTAGTGAGCACATAATGAAATCCAGTGTTAGTGTGAAAGTTGCATCAAAGTCCTCCAGAACACTGACCACAGAAATGCAGAACAAGCTCAGAAGAACTAACACATTAATCAATATAATTCAAGGTTTGCTGGAAACTGGCTTGATTCTTCCATTGCTTTTCGCTAAAATATAAGCCGAGAATTGAGGAAACTTGAGTCCAGAAAGTTAAAGTCAACATGACTGGCTATTTAAAGAAGCACCCGTTTTGGACAAGAGCCTGTAAAAGATCCAATCGTGAAAGCAAATTATTGAAGTGGATTGAGCTAAATATTAAATGTAGCCACTTTGCTAAATTAGTGAGAAAATTGCTTCCAGGAACCGCAAAAGTATATGGACGTTTTGGGTTGTTTCTTCGGAATTTTGCTTGAAAATGTACCTAATTTAATCAACGGTTTTGCCATTGCCAGGCTTTAGTGTACCTACTTCAACAACTCTAAAATCGTCCGAAATTCGATAGAATTAAAACCGTTTGGTGCGCTTACGTTGTTTAAACTATCGATCAACAGGATTTGTCTTCAAGATTTCAAATATTTAAATTTTACATTCAGCCAGAGCCTTTCCAGTTCCCAAATAATCAACATTTTCGGCCTATTTTGAGCGGTCGCAATCTTCAGTGCACGATATCTTCCTTATAATCGACCCACGACTTTCATATTCGATATTGGGCCGCTTCTTAGGACGGAAACAATACAGTAGGGGCAAAAAACACCACAAACTTCCAAGGGATGGATTTTTGAAAAAAATTCAAGTTTCTCAAAATACCTCGAGTTATACATCATTTTCATCGGAAAGAGACAAGGAATGTAACGAACTGATTAAAAGACACCGGGGAGTTTCCAGTTCCTAAATAATCAACATTGTCCGTCTATTCGGAGCGGTTTTTGAGCGGTGGCAATCTTCAACCCACGATATCTTCCTTATTATCGACCCACTACTTTCATATTCGATATTGGGCAGCTTCCTAGGTTAGAAACAATCCAATAAGGGCAGAAAACGCCACAAACTTCCAGAGGATCGATTTTTGAAAAAGGTTCAAGTTTCTCAAAATACCTCGAGTGATACATCATTTTCATCGGAAAGAGACAAGGAATGCAACGAACTGATTAAAAAACACAGAAACCCTTCCAGTTCCCAAATAATTAACATTTTCCGTGTATTCGGAGCGGTTTTTGAGCGGTGGCAATCTTCAACGCACGATATTTTCCTTATTATCGACCCACAACTTTCATATTCGATATTGGGCAGCTTCCTAGGTCAGAAAGAATCCAATAAGGGCAAAAAATACCACAAACTTCCAGGGGATCGATTTTTGAAAAAAAGTTCAAG